GGCCGCCGCCCCCCGCGCCCCCTGCCCGGGCCCCCCCAGCCTCCACGCCACGCTGCGTGCCCTCGCCCGGAAAGGCGGGCGGGAGGTCGACGTGCTCCCCGCCTTCTGCCACTACGAGCCCGAGGCGGTGGCTGTCATCGGGCCCGACAGCACCCGCCTGGCCCTCACCACAGCAGCCATCCTCGGCGTCTTCCTCGTACCGGAGGTAAGCGCGGCTCCCCCGGCAGACGAAGAAAAGGGCTCCTGAGGAGTAATGGTTTGAGGGAGGATGGGCTCAGAGCTGAGGAGCTGGGCTGAGCTGGAAATGCAGCCCCTCCAGGCAGGGATTGTGGCTGGCTCGCTGTCCTTCAAAGGCTTCTCTCGTGGCAGCGTGTTTGGCGCCGGGTCTGCTGCCTGCCCAGCCCCAGCCCTCTTCAGGTGACGGGCTGCCTGTGCCATTAGCTCTTAGGGTGCCGCTGCCTGGGGGAGCGCAACCCCCTTTCCCCTGGCTCCCTTTGCAGATTAGCTACGAAGCCTCCTTGGAGACGCTGAGCCTGAAGCGGTTCTACCCCTCGTTCCTGCGCACCATTCCCAGTGACAGGCAGCAAGTGAAGGCCATCTTCCTGCTGCTGCAGCAGTTTGGGTGGACTTGGGTGGCTCTGCTGGGCAGCGACAACGCCTACGGCAGGGACGCCTTAGATGCCCTCTACAAGCTGCTAACCTCAAGCAACACGTGCGTTGCCTACCGAGGCATCATCCCTGTCAACAAGGATGCCAGCAGCCCTGAGCTCCACAACCTGGTCAGAATCCTCATGGACGTCAGGGTCAACGTCACCGTCGTCTTCTCCAACAGACAAAGTGCCCGCCCTTTCTTTGAGGTGGTGGTCCAGAGGAACGTCACAGGCATGGTGTGGGTGGGCTCCGAAGACTGGTCGTTAGCCCAAACAATCTGGCAGGTGCCTGGCATCCAGAGTATCGGCTCAGTGATTGGGATGTCGTTTGAGAAGACAGAATCCGCGATGCTGGAACGCTTTGAATCTTGGAAGACAGCAGAGAAAAGCGCTGCAGCCGAACGTGCCAGCAGCACAGCGGCAGGCAGGGGAATCGGAGGGAGCGCCCAGCTGGACTGTACCCAGCGCTGCACCGGCTGCCACACGCTCACCACTGCCCCCGACATGTATGATGCTCAAGCCTCCTTCAGTGTGTACTCAGCCGTGTACGCTGTGGCCCATGGCCTCCACGACCTGCTGGGCTGCGCCTCGGGGGCGTGCAGCAAAGGCACAGTCTATCCCTGGCAGGTAAGAGCAACACGAGGAAGGATCTTCCTTGTGGAAGAGGATCCATGAGGATCCTTCCTCCCAGGGAAGGATCTTCCCCTTGTGCCCAGGGGTTTTCTGTCCCTCTGAAAGGCTCGTGTCCCAGCTGAAGAGCCTCGTGGGCTTCAGCCGCCCATCACAGTCAAAGCAGCCTGGACCTAGACCTAGATCCCCACCCTAGATCACTTCTGTTCCTCTATTGCCAGCCTCTCGCAGAAACCTGGAAGGGAGTTTCTGCAGCTGGGCATATGCTAGCTGTTGGGGGGCTGGAAAGAGGAGCCAGAGCAGGGAAGATGCCCTCTAGCACATCTCCCTCCTGAGACAAGGCACTCCTCAGCGGGAGTCTTGTCATCAGGAAGGGCTCTTCTCTTACTCCTCTGTTTTACAGCTCCTGCAAAAAATCAAGCAAGTAAACTTCACCCTGTACAAGAGCCACATCTCTTTTGATGCCAACGGGGACATTCGTAAAGGCTACGCCATCATCATGTGGAACTGGAGCGGCCCAAGCTGGGCTTTCGATGTGATAGGAACTTTCAGTGTGAATCCCGACAGGCTCAGCGTTGACCAGAGCAAAATCCTGTGGCACACAAAAGATCGCCAGGTACTGTTCTACATCCAGATCTTAGTTATTGCTTACTGCCAAGCCAGCTACGTCCCCAATGCCACCAGTTCTGGGGTATTTCCCCATAGCAGGACAAAAGCGAGGGCAGATGGAGGTAGTGGGAAGGGTGATCCGCATTCTGAGTATCAGCTTTCATCCTTCCAAAAAACAAGCAGGGCACATGAACCGAAAAGGCTCCTACTTTTACCTTTAAACAGTCTCATTTTCCCACCACCTCTGTAAGAACCACAACGTGGCGAGCTCTTGGCTCCTGCCCAGGGTCTGCCCTGAAAGCCAGCAGCAAGCTGCCCAAACGCTGCCAGGCCCAGGCCTGGCGCTCAGCGAGGCGTCCTGCTGCCCGCCCCGCTCACCTGCCTGACCCTCACCATGCTCCTGACAGGCTCCCACCTCGGTGTGCTCTAAGCCCTGTCAGCCGGGGGAGAAGCGGCTGCTGCGGAGCCACCACCGATGCTGCTTCAGCTGCGTGGCCTGTCCGTCAGGAACCTTCCTGAACAGATCGGGTCAGTATGCCCCGGGGGGCTTCTCCCTCCCCTTCCTTCCCACTTGGCTCCCCTGCCCGCCCCCTGCCTCCTCCTCCTGTCAGCTCCTTGCTTCCGTCTCGCCATTCCCCCAGCCTCTTCCCATCTGCTCTTTCCTCCCCGTGGTCAGTAAAAACCTCTGAGCTGACCTGAACGTGGCCGGTCTGACTCCCATTTGCTTACCCGTGGGTATGCAAAGCCCACGCCCTGCGCTTTCCGGGGAGCGCTGCCCACAGCTGGGCCCGCACAGTCAAATAGACAGTGGAGGTGGCGCCGGCAGAGCCCCTTCTCCCATGGCCAAGGGACGAGGGACGTCTGGCCTGACAGCTGTTTCCTGCACCGCATCCTCCAGGAGGGAAATTTGACCAAGTGGTTGCCTTTGTGCCCCAGATGGCACTCGAGGCTTCTGCACCACGCGGTCACCAGCAGCTGGCATATGGAAATGTCCCCTGCCTGGGACAGGTGGCAGGAATCTCCTGTCTCAGAGTCGCCAGCCACAAGGACAAACCCCTTGCTGGCAGCTGCTCGCTCGGCAGCCTCAGCCCGCACTTGGGCTGAGGCGGGGTGGAAATGGCCAGCTCTGGGTAACAGCGGGAGCAGGGAGCCCCCAAACCCGGCCGGTCAGTGTTACCATCCCATCACCCAGCCGGCAGAAGTGGGGCTGCTGCAGACCCATCCCAGCCTTCGCCGGGCGGGCCCCCCCAGCCCCTCCCCAGCCACAGCCCACATGCCCCCGAGCCTTGGCTCACCCAGCTGAGCTCCTGCGGGCTTCGTGCCTCTCAACGCCAGCAATGGGCTTTCAGGAAGCCTGATGGGGGGACTTTTGGGAGATCTCCTCAAGGCTTGGAAGCGCCCAAGGGGAAGGAGCAGGATGCGAGGAGCAGGCAGCTCTTGCAGAGAGCCCGGGGCGCTGCGAGGGCAGGGTGCTCCCCCGCGGCAGATCGCTTACCAGGGTCTGTGGCGTGCAAGGTGCCTCCATCACCACCTGGGCTCGTGTCCTCCGCAGACCTCTACAGCTGCCAGTCCTGCGGGGTGGATGAGTGGGCCCCGGCGAGGAGCGAAGCTTGCTTCAACCGCACTGTCGAGTTTCTGTCCTGGTCTGAGCCCATCTCCTGGGCCCTGCTGACCCCCACCATCCTCCTCATGCTGCTGATGGCAGGGCTGGCCGTCCTCTTTGCCCTGAATGCCTCCACGCCGGTGGTGAAGTCTGCAGGCGGGAAGATGTGCTTCCTCATGCTGGGCTCTCTGGCCTGCGCCTGCAGCAGCCTCTTCTGCTATTTTGGGGAGCCCACCCGGCACGCGTGCCTGCTGCGGCTCCCCCTCTTCACCATCAGCTTCACCATCTTCCTCTCGTGCGTGGCGACGCGCTCCTTCCAGCTCATCTGCATCTTCAAGCTGAACGCGCGCTGGCCGGCCCTCTACGAGGCCTGGCTGCGGCGCAGGGGGCCGCTGGCCTTCGGTGGCCCCAGCCCGGCCGGCCCGGCGCC